TTGTATAACTGTCACTTCAATGTATGTCTAGAAATCTTTAATAACTCCAAATAAAATCATTTTTGCTATTAAACAATGAGTCCTCATTTTTCTTTCCTACAGAGTGATATCTTCCCTCCCGTCTCATTTTTGTAGACACATTTTTTAACCCATCAAGTCCAATTTATGCAGCCTACTTCTTCTAGAATGTCTAACCTTCCACTGAAGCACAATCAACTTAACCAAAGGCTGTTTTTTAAAGAAAACTGCCTCTCCCTCTCCCAGTAGCCAACACTACAATATTCATCAACTTTTATCTCTTCTGAAATATGACAGAGAGTAGAACCCATGTCCTGTGCAATTGATTTTACTGTTGGGAAAGGAATTGAAAGCTTCAAATCTGACAGGTAGAGAGCTAATTTCGGATTTTTAAGTTGCTTCTTTGTATGCTTCCACAGGGATGTCCTGCATATTATAGCTGACAGTGGATTAGTAGCCCACCAATCTGAACATCATCCTCTTTTAATATTTTATAAAAATATTTAAAAGGCCCTTTAATTGTATAATCTGTAAAGGGGCATGGCTTCTCCAGAATCCTGTATTAGAGACATCACCTGGGCCAGCACTCCCCATGTCTTGTGAATAGCATCCCAATCTGTTAAGAATAAGAAAAACTTCAGTAACTGTAGCATTTGTTAAGCCAGTTAGCAACTCTCATTCCTAACTGTTCACAAAGAGGCATTTGCTCTCTCTCCAGAAGGAGATGCATTCTAAGTTTTCTCTCTAGAACAAGGGCCATTCCAAATGTCAAGTTGGTTATCAATATTACAATCATGATGATCAAGCTCATTGGAGATCAACTATATTTTAATTTTGTTCATTTCAGAATATAATGTTTTCTCTTTAAGTAAAATGTCATGGAATCAGGAGGATAAAAGTTAAGTTGTTTGCCTGTTAGCTTTCTAAAGAGAGAGAAAAAAGATGTGGGTAGATTTGGGGGGATGGGAAAGTGGGAAAGATCTGGAAGAAGTGGAGAAAGGGGACCATGATCCGAATATATTGTAAGAAGATTATATTCAATTAAAAATATTTTTTAAAAAAGTAAAGAAATAGCCAGGCGATGGTGGTGCATGCTTTAATCCCAGCACTCGGGAGGCAGAGGCAGGTGGATCTCTGTGAGTTCGAGGCCAGCCTGGTCTACAAGAGCTAGTTCCAGGACAGCCTCCAAAGCTACAGGGAAACACTGTCTCAAAAAAAAAAAAACAAAAAAAAAGTAAAGAAAGAAAAATAGGTATTTTCCCCTGGCTTAAAAATGAGTCTCATTGTACAGACTTCTGATTTTACCAGGGGTTCCTTTGAGACCATGTGACTTCTCTTCCTTCATTTTCTCGAACTGTGTTTGCAGAATTAAAGCCTCCTTAGGGCTCTGGTTAACAAGCTGCAGGAAAGAAGACACCACATGAAGACAGGAGAGCTGCCCCAGGATTTCCCACCCATGGTCTCTCCCCTTTGCTCCCAGTACCTGGATCCCCCTGAGACAGGTGTATGGAGTCTCTTCTTTCTCCAGGCACATTTGAATCAACTTCTTCCCTTTCACCAACTTCTATCTGAAGTTTTTTCCATGAGCAGCTAACACTAGGAACCTCTGATGAGCATATATACAGTACCTCTATCAGAAAATAATGATAATTTTGGAATTTAAGATCTTCTGGGATCTGCTTATACTTCGGCAAAGGAGGCATGGAGTAAGGAGACACCATAGCAAGTGGTCTGCTCCGCTACACAGCTAGGAATGAGACTAGGAGTTTGGATTTGGCAGAGAGGAGGGAGAGTGAAGGTTTATAGTTGGCCTACCTGCTTGCAGGCCTACTTGCCTTTCCTGCAGGCTAGGCTGGGTGTTGCAAGCAATTGGCTGCTGTATTTGGGAGCTGAAAGTGATCCAGTGGAAACAGAGGAAGGAAAGACCAAAGCCTCTTGCTATCTAATGAGAAACATAAAATGGGTGGATCCAGATAACAGGGACTACGGGAGGAAATGAGAGGAGTAGAGACGTATTGGAGAGAGGAAACTGTAGTCAGGAGATAGATAGATGATAGATAGATAGATAGATAGATAGATAGATAGATAGATAGATAGATATAAATATACACATATATAACTATTTTCAATAAAAGAATAAAGGGGAAAAGAAATATCTAAGTTAAATGTCATTATAGATTAAATAAATTTTATAGATATCTACTGAACATTTTGTTCAAAGAATACAGAATACACATTCTTTTCAAGAGCCCAAAGAACTGTCTCTAAAACTGGCCATAACAAGAAGTAAAGCAACCTTTGGTAAATATAGAAAAACTGAAATAATCATTTGTGTTATCATTAACAAAATGGAATAAAGCTTGAAATCAACAGCTTTGGAAAATGCAGAATGTACCAAACTATGAACATTTAAAAACACAGTACTGAATGATAATTTGGTTATAATCAAAATATCAAAGAAAATAAAATACCATACAGTCAAAGAAAATATGGAAACATAACCTACCCAAACACATGGGGTATAAAGAAAGTAGTCCAAACATAAAAGTTTACATCTATGAGATCATACACAAAAATATCAGAAATTTCAAATGAAGAAATTAATGATGAACTTTATAGATATTTACAGAAACAAAAATCAAGTGAAACACAAAATCAGCAAGTAGAAATAAATAAATAACATCAAGGTAGAAATTAATGAAATGGAGATAACAAAAATGCAATTAATGAAATAAAGAGGCTTTCTTTAGGATAAACAATACCGAAGAACCAGCCAAGAGGAAAAAAAAATTTCAAACTAATTAAGTTAATGATTTTTAAAAGGAAGAGGTGACAAGAGGTAACAAAGAAAAGAGAAAATCATTAGATTGTACCTTCAGACTTACATTCTATGAAGTTAGAAAAATATGTAAAAATAATAAATAACAAATAACTACTAAACTAAAATCAAGATGAAAAAATCATTTGAACAGATTTACTTTTAAAAAAAAATCAAAAAAGTATAGCAGTATTTTTTAAAACCACAAAATAAAAAACATGCAAGTCCAGATCGATTCATTATTGAATTGTATCAGACTATTAAAGACCATCAATGCTTCTTAACCTATTCAATAAAAAAGAGAAAAAGAATGATACCAAACTTTTCATTAAACTAGTATTATCCTGATACCAAATTCATGTAAAGATAGAACATAAGATAAATTTATAGGTGAATCTCTCTAATATATTTAGATGCCAAAAGTATAAAACAAAACAAAGCAGAAAACCAAAAACTGTTACAGAGTACTTGGTTACCCACAAGAACCAGATCATGAAACTCTGTTGTTGAAGACACCACCCTCTTGGATGGCAGAACAGAAGAAATCAAGCTGGAACTAAGCTGAAAGTTTCTTACTGGCTAGCTTTTAGAGTGCCAGTAGGTACTATTTAAACTAAGAAAAGTCATCTAAAATCCTATTTCTAGAGCTAAACTAAAATCATTATATACCTAAAAAGATATGTCCATTGTTACCTATAGTAGCATGACTACCAACTGTTTTGTTTGTTTGTTTGTTTGTTTTATATTTGAGGCTCTCAAATACAAGAAGGAACTCATAATGGTCCTGCAAAACTGATCAAGACCTGGTGTCTGGGAAGATCAAAGATATAATGGACATGGTTTAACACTGAATTCTATTCAGTAAATTCTTGATTATAACCATAGCTAGTGAAAAGATGCTGGGTTTTCTCTACGTTCCTTTCCGCACCTTCTCGTCATCAGAGAAGCTTCCTTCTGAAGTGGACTGGAACAAATGCAAAGAATCGACAGGTCTACATGAAGAAAATAAATGACTTTGAACTGATGGTCCTGAACAGAGCATTGATATCACTCCTTCCATGGCCCAGGTAAATTCACAGAAGGGAGAACAGGAAGAAGACGAGCCAAAAGATGAAGAGGGCTGCTAAGAAACAGTACTTCTGTACAGGATACAGCCATTTCACTCATGAAGTCCCTACAGATATGGTGACCTACACGAGTCCTGCACAAGATGGGGACTATCACCACTGTACATAATGGAGAGGCTTATGAGGCTTCACCCCTCATGCAAGTCTGGATAACAGCTACTGAGGGAGAGACTATTATTTTCATCATTCTGTAGCCACTGGTAAGTTGCCATGCCCCAGTAAATAACCACCACACTTCATGATCATGTGAGGGACCATAGTTAAAATCAGTAGTCACAAAATAAGACGTTGAAGTAGGAGGGGAGTAGTGCAGGGAAGAAGAGAGAAGAAGGAAACGGAGGAAGATAATGAGTAGTACAGTGCCCAAAAGTCATTATAGTCATGTGTACAATTGTCAGAGTTAAAAAGTAACTATTACAAATTAATATGTTCTTCAACTAAAAAATTACTTGCAAACAAAATCAACAATAGATACATCAAAAAACTGCTCGCCATGATCAAGCTGACCTCACTTCTGGAATATTAGGAAGATTAAATTTATTCCAATTTATAAACATAACACAATGATAAATAGACTTAGGGAAAAAATTATATAATGATATTAATAGATGTAGAAAAGGATACTAACAAAGTTCATCATCTCTTCATGAGAAAGTCTAGAAGAAAGCAAGAATAGTAGGAATGTCTTTTAATGTTATAAAGGGTGTATGTGACAATTGCAAATTTAGTATTATACTTAACTATGAAATACTCAAAAGTAATATAATCAATAGAGAAATGCGGATGTTTGCTCTCTCCATTCTATTTCATATACTGTTTGAAGTCTTAGATCCATAAGAAATAAGGATTAAAATTGAATACAATATGATCCTATAGGTAAAAAGCAAAATAAATCAAATTATAAAACTTTTAGACTCATAATCACTTTTAATTAATTAGCAAAATACAAAATCAGCTTACAAAATCACTAGGTTTCTTATAAATAGCTAGCAAATGTAGTGAGCCAATAAAAGCAATTTCATTTATAAAACCTTTACTTCTTCCTCCAGCATCACACATACTAAAATTGGAAAGATACAGAGAAGATGAACATATCCCCTGCATGAAGATGACCTGAAATTTGATGGTGTTCCATATTTAAAAGTCTATCTAAAAGAATAAAACACCTTGAAATTAATTGAACAATGAAAAGGAAAGACCTCTACAAAAAAGAAACCTTAAACACTGCAAAAGAATTTGAGAAACATTATAGAAGATGAGAAGCCCTTCTATGTTCACCATTCAGCAGAACTAAGTCTATGGAAATTGTAATGTTATCAAAATTAATCTACAGATTCAATTCTATACTCATCATAAGTGTGTGGTATTCTTTACAGAAATACATAAAAATCATAAAAATCACCCAAATAACCCAGGATAGCTAAAACATTAAAATACAAGATGAATAACAATGGGTGATCCCATACCTGGGTGTAAGTAACATACAAAACCAAAGTAATAACTGACATAATCTTGTGGAGAAAACACAGACATGTAGATCAGTGGGATAAAAACCTCCAAAATTAAACCTACACATCTACAGCTACCTGATTTGGGGCAAATGCAACAACAACAACAACAACAAAAAACTATTGTAGGAAAGACGGACTTTCTACAGTACTAGGCTTTTGCAAGTAGAAAACTAATGGAATATATATTCCTCATCCTGGACAAATATATTTAAAATGATCCAAAGTTTTTAAGAACTGGATCTCTAGACAGAAATATTTAATAAATAAATAAATTAAAAAAATAAAAAAAAAATAATAAAAAAAAAAGAAAAAGAAAACATAGGGAAAGTGTTCAGGATATACAGATAAGCAAAGGTTTCTGAAATGGGCCCCAATAGCTCAGTGAAACAAATGAAAACTGACTAAGGGATTCCATCAAGTTAACAAAGTAAACCTACTGAAGATTCAGCCTTGAAATCTGGAAAAAAAAGTTTTTCCACTTAATATACCAGGCCGGGTGGTGGTGGCACACGCCTTTAATCCCAGCACTCGGGAGGCAGAGGCAGGTATATCTCTGTGAGTTTGAGGCCAGCCTGGTCTACAAGAGCTAGTTCCAAGACAGGAACCAAAAAGCTACAGAGAAACCCCATCTCAAAAATCCAAATATATATATATATACCAGACAGAGCATTAATATATAAAATGTATTTAAAACTCAAAAACTGAGTACAAAAACCATTGAATAATAAGCTAATGAAATAAAAAGAGTTTGCAAAATATACAAAGTAAAATGACTAATAAACAAATGAAAAACACAAAACTTTAGAAGAATGCAAAGTAAATCAGCATTGAGATTCTATCTTATAACATCATGATGAAAACAGTGAACAGGTGCTGGTGAAGACATCAGGAAACATGGACTCTGATACACTGCTGAAGGAAAAAAAAAACTGATTTCGACATGATGGAAACCAATATGGAGGTTCCTCAAAATATAAAAAGTCATCATAGGACCCAGGTCTTCCTAACGGACTCTTAATCAACACAACATAGAGTTACTTACATATCTATATTTAGTATTCACAATAGTCAAGTTATTAATGGCAAAAGAACACCTGCCCGTGTCTATAAACATATGAACACATACATAAAATATGGTGTACATAAACAACTGAATTTCATCTAGCTACAAATAATTGAATTGTATAATTTCTAAGAAAATAGATGCAACTAGAGGCCACCACATTAAGTAAAATAAGTCAAACAGCAAAAGATAAATATTGCATTTTTGCTCCCATTTGGTTTTAGAAGCAAGACTAGATAAAGGAGTGAGACTGAGACAGGGAAAGGAGAAGCGAGGGGAAGTGAGTGGGGAGGAAGGGAAAAGAAGAGACAAGATATTCAGAGAGACACAGGCAAAGATAATTGATACATGATAACATAGATGATAGATGATTGATGGATAGATGATAGATAGATATAGATAGATAGATAGATTGATAGATAGATGATTGATAGATGATAGATAGATGATAGATAGATAGATAGATAGATGATAGATAGATAGATGATAGAGATAGATAGATAGATAGATAGATAGATAAATAGATAGATAATAGGTAGATGGTAGATGATTGATGGATAGATGATAGATAGATAGATAGATAGATAGATAGATAGATAGATAGATAGATAGATAGATAATAGGTAGATGATAGATGATTGATGGATAGATGATAGATAGATAGATAGATAGATAGATAGATAGATAGATAGATAGATGATAGATAGATAGATAGATAGATAGATAGATAGATAGATAGATGATAGATGGAGAGATAGATAGATGATCTATAGATGATAGATATACATAGCATAACATATACCATAGCAATCACAAGATGTCCCTATCCAAATACTTGTAGCCAACTGAAGCAATATAATGACTTGAAAATCATTTCTTAGCAATGTGAATGTAAAGTCATAAGCAAAATACATGACTCATCAGGAATCACAGGTGAAACATTCAGTCTCCAACACTCTGCTCTTATTATTTTGAAAGGCAGGGAAAAAAGCCATAACAAGTTTTCACTTGAACAGAGTGTATTTATTCAGCTTGATGCAAGTCAGGAAATAGCCCTAATCATTTTGAATTGCAGTAAAAGGTTGTATGCACTTGTCAAATATAAGCATTTTTGTCATAAGAGCAAAAATGTCTTACAGAGACATTTTCTTAATTAAACAACTCAGCTATAAATTCAGAATAGAATTGCGATGTAATTTTAATGTTCACTTCAGTATGTACCTCAAATGACCCTCCTCTCATGCTTCCTGTGTTGTTGTTATGACTACCATAACCAAAAGCAACCTGGGAAAAAGGGGGTTATTTTAGCTTGTAGATTATAGTCTGCCATCATGGGAAGCCAGGAAAAAGAGTCAAGCAAGAACCTGAAGGACAGAAGCAATTTCCCAGAGAAACACTGCCTATTAGCTTGTTCTATCTCTGGCTTCTCAGCTACTTTCCTTATTCAAGCAAATCCCACCTGCCTAGGGATGGCACCAACCACAGTGTGCAAGACCCTATCACCCAACAATTAATAAATTCCCCATAAAATTTCCATAAGGCAATCTGATAGAGAAAGTTTTTCATTTGATGTATTTTATTCCCAGATAATTCTAGTGTGTGTCAAGTTGACAAAAACTTGTTAGCACAGCACTCAAAAATTTCCCTTTTAGCTCTCAACACTATCTCTAGATACACAATCTCAAGGCAACTGTCTCCTGCCTTTCTTCTCATCACTTGTCAATATATAACTTCCAATGGCTTGTGCATAGCTCTTCTGTGACATTTAGTTTAATAATTATTGATACATATCTCTCCTTATCCTGAGAAAGATTATGTACTATCTTTGTCTCCACTTCATGTACGTTTTTACTGAAAAGATTTGTCTCTTTGTACACAATCAAAATCAAAATGAGAGTCTTTGGGTTTGTATTTAATTTTGAGTAGCTGTTTGTAAACTGAAAAGAGGCTATGTTCGGGAAATCAAAAAAAAAGATTTTAACAAAGGGAAGATAATAGGTGACATGAAGGCAAAAAGAAGGGTAAAGGAAGAATAATGGAGAGAGGTTTATGAGGGGAGAGAGTATGATAGTAAGGCAGTTGAAGAGGTTGGAGGAAAGATAAGTAAGACAAATATTTGCAAAACTGAATGGAAGCTGTAAACAGAGACCACTTGCTCACTTCCCAGCCACCCAGACTCGAAATAATCACACAGAAACTATATTAATTATAACACTGCTTAGCCTATTAGCTTAGGCTTCTTATTAACTAACACTTATATCTTAACCCATTTCTATTATTCTGTGTATTACCACAAGGCTGTGGCTTACCCGAAAAAATTCCAGCATCTGTCTCCTTCAGTTACTACAGGGCATCACCCTGACTCCACCTACTCTTGATGTACATTTCTGTTCGGATTTTCCACCTGGTTTTACTCTGTTAAACCATTGGTCAAAAGCAGTTTCTTTATTAACCAATGGCAGTAAAACATATTCACAGCATACAGAGGGGAATCCTACATTAGGAAGCCTATTATTTTATAAATATTGTGTGTGTATGTGTTCACATAAGATAGATTGAGTTACTTTGTACCTGGAATTATGCTCCTCTAAAAAGCTAAAAGTTATCAAATAAATAGCCTGGTGTCACATGTGGGGTAACTCTCTTTAAATTGTTGGTTTTAGAAATCACATAGGTTGGTCACAAAATATGGATAAAACAAGACTGAACTTAGCTGGAAGCGTCTATCACCTGCTTGGTTTTAATAGCATGGAAGGTGCTATGAAAACTGATGAGGTTGGGAGTCAAGAACACTTTTACCCAGCTGTCCACCCTGTTAAGCTATAATAATGGAGTAGCAGAGCAAGATATGTCCATGAGTCTAATAGTGCTATAAATGTTATGGGGTAACAAAGCATTTTCAGATTGAATTTATGGCTCACTCCACAGCTGGAATCACATGCTTGGTACTGTTAATTGAGCACACACACACACACACACACACACACACACACACAGTTAATCCAATTGGGTTGTCAATGATATAATTTGAAATCAACCTTCAGAATAATGGGTATTTCAGAATATAAAAATATTTCAAAAAATTGTATTTATATTATATTCCGTAATTTATATTTATATTAATATAAAATTATATTTCAAAATATAAAATCAAACATTATGTAGGTTAACATAATGGTCTCTTTGGATATTGTCAACTCTCAGCTCTAAGAGTACCTTACTCATTATGTAATCTACTATATATTTTACACTATCCTTTGAGTGCTTCATTTTACTTCTTTTGATTAAGCATACAAGGACAAGAAGCCAAGGAGGGGGGGCCAGACCAAGATTCTAGTAACATTAACATTTACTATTTTTATCTTTATCCATTCTTCAATTAATGGGCATCCGGGTTGTTTCTAGGTTCTCGCTATTATGAATAAAACTGCTATGAACATAGTTGAGGGAGAGTATAGAAAGGGAGAACATATGATTGAGGGAGCCATATGGGACTAGCAAGTAAATAGGTACTAGGGAAATTCACAGGAATCTACAAGGATGATTGAAGGCGCAAGTCAGAAACAA